CATCCCCGTGGAAAGTTTTATTATTAAAGAAGGAGGGGAGAGGGAAGAGAGAATAAGAGAGGGGGGAGGGAGGGAGAGGGAAAGAGAGAGAAAGAGAAAAAGCGGAGGTGCGTGCAGCCTTCATGGAAGGAGAGAGAGGAAAAGAGGACCGGAGAGAGAGAAGGGGGAGGGGTTTTCTCTTAAAGGAGACTTTACGTAAGATGACGTCAGGACGCTGGGCGGGTCCTCAATACGGGCCAGAAGGCTACCAGAGCACCTGCTGCTAGGGACTGTGGTTCAGTTCTCAGCACCCACATGGTGGCTCACAACCATCCTTAACTCCAGTTCCAGGAGTTCTGATGCCTGGAACTTTATTTATTTATTTATTTTCTTTTCTTAGGTGTCCTCTCTCTCCTCCGCGCCCTCAGTTCACATGAGACACCTGACTGCTGTAGGCCGATCCTTACTGCTGGGATCTCAGGGGAAGGCAGCTTCTCACTCGTCCTCCATTCTGGTTGGGTGTCGTGATCATTCCTAAATCAACTATTATGCCTGATTGGTTAGGCTTGTAAGGGGCGGGGTCAACTCTACCTGTAGCACAGGGGCGGTGCTTTCCCAGAGGAATATAGAGGCCCAGTTGCCGGGAGCAGAAGTGGTTGCCAAGCAGCCGAACAACAGAGATTTATTGTCCCTGCGTTTTTACTGTGTGCTTCTGTGGGTCTCGGCGCCGTCCCTCTCAAGCCACCTGGCTTCCTGGCTGTTTGTAGAATGCTCTTGTTTCTTCCTCTCATTTTGGTCTTGAATGCCACCCTTCAACAAGACTTCAACACTCTTAAGTTTGCCATTTTGTACGTGAATGTGTCTGTGCCTGTGGTGTGTGAGCATGGGTGTGTTTGTGTGTGGCATATACACACATGCACGCACTGGTGCCACAGGAGGATGCGGATATCCTGCTCGATTGCTCCTTGCCTTGTTCCTTTGAGACAGGGTCTCTCCCTGAACCTGGAGCGAGGTCTGGCAAACAGCAAGCTCCGATGATCCTCCTCTCTCGCCCCTCATCGCTGGGGTTACAGGCACACACACTGCCATGGGTGCTAAGGGGAAAAATAATGCTAAAGGGAAAAACCTAAAGCGTTTATACCTAGTTTTATGTTTGTGCATATCGAGAGGATATTTTAAAAATTGGGTATGGTAGCTCACGCAATGAGGGAACTGAAGCAGGAGGATGGCATTTATTCATTTGCATTGGTGGTTTTTTGCCTGCATGTATGTCTGTGTGCGGGTGTCAGATCTTGGAGTTACAGGTAGTTGTGAGCTGCAATGCGGGTGTGTGTGTGTGTGTGTGTGTGTGTGTGTGTTGGAATTGAACCTGGGTCCTCTGGAAGAACAGTCAACGCTCCTAACTGCTGAGCCATCTCTCCAGCCCCCAAGCCATGGGCTTTTTTACTTGGGGATTTGAACTCAGACCTCATGTCTGTACAGCAAGTGCTCTTCATCACTGAGCCATCTCTGTGATTGGAACCTACTTTTAAGAAGTTAGTGTCTTCTCTCCTATCCTTTCTTCTGGATTCCCTTCTGGCTTTTTTTTTTTTTTTTTTTTTTTTTTTGGTTTTTCGAGACAGGGTTTCTCTGTGTAGCTTTGCGCCTGTCCTGGAACTCACTTGGTAGCCCAGGCTGGCCTCGAACTCACAGAGATCCGCCTGCCTCTGCCTCCCGAGTGCTGGGATTAAAGGCGTGCGCCACCACCGCCCGGCTTCCCTTCTGGCTTTTTTTTTTCCCTTGAGACAAATTTTTATTTTATCAGCCTCTCCCACTGAAATGCAAGCTCCACAGGACAGAGATTTCTGTCCACTCTGGTCGCTGCTGTATCTTTCTACCTAGGACAGTGTCCAACACATAGTGGGTCCTTTATACACAATGGCTAAATGAAGGAATGGGTGTGTACAACCACCCGGTGAAGTAGCTGAGATGAAGGCCAGGCTCCTGCCTTGAAAATTAAGGAGCTGCTCAAGTTGTTGTTTTAAACGCTAATTGTTGAGTGTTAATGAGAAAACAGCAGAGGGGAACTTCATGCATTATAGTGTGTTCCCACCAAGGGAAGGTTAGAAGACACCGGATGGCAGCCATTCAGACTGAGAAAGTAGCAGGAGCCTTGAGTCATCATCTGCTGGCTGTTGGTAAGGCAGACATCCCAGGCGCTAAGGACGCACCTGCTCCAGCCCAGCTAGACCTGAATCAAGCGGAGCGTAGTCATTTAGTTTCAGCAAATAGCAACTGTCACATTTAAACGAACGTGGCTCATTTGAACCGCACTGGCTTTATAGCTTCTTTTAAACAGAATTTGTTCTGATTTTATTGTTACTGCTAAAGGGAAAACCCTAAAGAGTTTGTACCCTGTTTTATGTTTGTGCATACCGGAAACATATTTTAAAAACTGGGCATGGCAGCTTGTAACCCCCTGAACGGAGGAAACCAAAGCAGGAGGATTGCTGTGTGTTTGAGGCTAGTCTGATCCACAGTCTAGCTTGGACTACAGAATGAGACTTTGTTTCAAAAAAAGGAAAAGAAGGGGAAAGGGAAGGATGAAAAGAGAAGGGAGAGGAAGGGGAAAGGAAGAAGAGAGAAAAAGAACAGGGAAAAGAAAAAGAAGAAACAGAAGCGGACCGGCAAGAGGGGAAGTGAGAAAAATAACAAAGTGTGGCGATATCTGCGATGTTACAGTGTTACTGTGTTAACCTGTCACTTTGTATGCTAGCAAAAGTAACTGATTCAAACATTCAAACAAAAACTAATGGGTTTGTGAACACTTGTATCCTTATAAAGAAACTTACTTAATACTCAAGGTGGCCAAACACTTTGGAAAGAGTCTAACCTTTCTTCGTCCTTGACACTCGAGGGAGGAGTCTGAGAAGATACCAAGAAAAGGGTCAGAAGCTTAAAGATCACCTGGCCAGTCCTGCCGCTCTGAGTAAAGCCTGGGTTTACGCAGCTGATCCCAGGGCTCTAGTCCTGACCTTTCCTGCCTCCCACCTAGGAAGAACTCACCCCTCCCCCGCAAGCCAGGAAGTGACCTGGTCCGCCTCTGGGGCTGAGAGCAAACACTCCTGCCTCTGCCTCCCCCAGCCCCAGGAATCTGCCCGCCAGCACCCTGGTGGGGGGGGCGACGGGATTACTCACCAGGAATTCCCAGCTGTACTTTGGGCGGTTGCCTGCTGGTATTTGCTGGGAACTAGAGATATCTGGGAGGTCTTGCCAGCTTTTCTTAGCAGGCCTAGGCAGGGCAGCTGTCAAGCATGGCTATCTTTGTTCTCAGAGCTGACCTCAGAGTTGCCGCTGGAGCTGGAGATAGCTTTTAAGCCCAGGAAGTTGGGAGAGAGATGGAAGCATGCTCACTGAGGAAAACAGGGTACCAGAAAGCCAGCTGTTCTGTCCCGAGACCAGAGAGCTGGGCAGCGTGGAAAGCAAAGAAACTCTTTTGCCTGCGCCAGGCCAGTCTTTTCTTAGAGATCCTGTAAGGGCAATGTGCCCACTGTTCCCCACACCCTGCAGTCTGTGGTGGGAGTAAGGAATGGCTCTCAGGAAACAGTCCCAGCTAAGCAGAAGACGAGGCCTCGGAGCTGTTGACTGGGGCACTCAAGGGACACAGCCCACTCAGTGTCTCCAGCATCACCTTCCCGGAAGGCTCAAGGACTGAGGAACTGCTTGTGTGGACCACGACAAAGGACTGGCTTCCCAGGGCCTGTCTCAGGTTTGATAGGGAAACTGAGGCAGAGGACATGGAATTTTACTAAAGCCATATTTCCTACAGCAAATGCCTTATAGGACCACAGGAGGTGGAAAATGTGGACAAATAAAGCAGAGAATGATGATCAGCTGTGAGAGTTTGTTATTGGGTCTGAGGACAGCTGTGAGAGTTTGTTATTGGGTCTGAGGACAAAGTTTCTGCCTTTCTGACCTAGAAACCCAAGAATCCACAGTGTTGTCTTTTGCTGTGTGTTACCATGATAAACACCATGATTAAAAACCAAGTCTGGGAAGAAAGGGTTTATTTAATCTTCTACCTCCAGGTAACAGTTTATCAGGAAAGGAAGTCAGGGCAGGAACCTGGAGGCAGGCACTGAAGCAGAGACCACCGAAGAATACTGCTTACTGGCTTGCTCTCCCTAGCTTCTGTTCAGCTGACTTTCTTACACAGCCCACCCTCCCTGGCTAGGGATGATACTCCCCACAGAGGGCTGGGCCCTCTTGCATCAATTCGCAATTAAGAAAATGCCCCACAGAGATGCCCACAAACCAGCCTGATTGACGTGGTCCCCACGTTGAGACTCTTAAGATAACTCTGGGCTGTGTTAAGTTGAGAGCTGAGGCTAACTAGGAGGCATAGCGAGTTTTTTCCTGCCTCCTTCCAGCCTTCTATGGCTTAAAGTAGGATTTCCTCTATTCAAAGTGTTTAGGCCTAGACGTGTTTCACATTTCAGGGCCCCCACCCCTGATTTGGGAGTATTTGCATATACATAATGTGCTATCTCAGGAATGGAGTAGAAAGTCTTCATGCAAAATTAATTTCTGTTGCAAGTATGCAGCCTAAAGGTAATTTTACACAATATTTTTAGTACATCTGCATGCTGGCTGCAATCTAGCACGTGAGGAGAGGTGTGGAATTTTCCACCATGGTGTTATGTTGGCACGCTAAAAGTTTTGATTCAGGGAACATTTCACATTTTGAATTTCACTGGGCATGGTGATGCATGCCTGGAATCCCAGCACCTGGGGAGCTGGAGAGATGGTTCAGAGGCTAAGAGCACCGACTACTCTTCTAGAGGACCTGGATTCAATTACCAGCACCCACATGGCAGCTCATGGCCATCTGTAACTCTAGTCCCAGGAGGAATCCATTGCCTTTTTCTGCCTCCTCAGACACCAGGTGGACATGTGGTGCACAGAATTACATGCAGACAAAACACCAATACACGTAATATCAATAAATTAAAAAAAAAGTAGACATTTTTTTCTGGCACTTGGGAGGAGAAGGAAAGAGGACCAGAGCTCAGGTCATCTTTAGCTATGTAGAGTTCAAGACCAGCCTGGGCTCTTAAAAAATAACAAAACAAAATAAGTAAATAAAAATAACCAAACAAACAAAGTTTGGAGGTTCAGATTAAGGATATGAACTCAATTCTGTCTTCAAATGACCACGGTGCCTCTGTGCCCTTAGGAATCCATGACTCTCACCCTGTAAAGGGAGAGAGCCAGGATACAAAGGAGGAAATCCCTGGACTGCTGCACTAGGGATCTCACAGTGAAAAAGTTTCCAGAATCTTTTTTTTTTTTTTTTTTTTTGAGGAGGGAGGTCTCAGATAGTTTCTCTCTGTAGCCCTGGTTGTCCTGGAACTTGCTGCCGAGACTAGGCTGGCCTTGAACTCAGAGATCCGCCTGTCTCTGCTGGGATTAAAGGTGTGGGTCACCATCGCCTGGCAGTTTCCAGTATCTTATAGAACCTACTTGTCTGTGTTTCTGTACAGGGCTCTGCAGGGCTAACACCTCCTAGTAGGGCAAGGAGAGTGAATGACTGTTGTAGAAGCCTGCTGTCTACCAGGCCCTGGGCTGGCATTCTGTCTTTGTGTCTTCATATATCTGTCCACCGGCCAGGGCTGTAGATCAGGGGAAGAGTGCTTGCCTAACATTCATGAAGGCCTAGGTTCAATCTCCAGCCCTGCCAGAAAAGAAAGAGAAAACACCGATTTGTTGCTTTGACAAACATGAGTCCGTTTCCATTTCTCTCAGACTGTGCCTGTCTGTAACTAGCTGCTGTGTGACTGGCATGGACTGGGTGCGTGCTGTACATTCCCAGAATTCTCAGGCATCTCCATGGCCCCTGCTTTCCCAGGGAGGTTTGCTCCTCTACCTAGAGCAAGGCTCCCTCGACAACGGGGCCCCTGTGGCTCTCAGTGACTCACTGAAGCAGCTCTCTCCTGAGCGTGGGCGAGGGAGGAGGCTGCGGCAAAGTGGGAGGTGGAGGCATCTTTCTTGAGCAGCTCCACGGTGAAAAGGCTCACCTAGTGGATAAGCAACTCTAGTGTTCTCTTCCTGTCCACCACCTGAGCAAATTTCTCCAGTTTCAGTCCCCACCCACCAGCGTGTATAATGGCGAAGACTCTTCCCACACCCCCAGGTTCCTTTGTTTTTACAACCAGAGTAATCCAAAGGATGCAAAGGGACCGAAACAGCTGAGCTTCTGGGAGGAGTCGGTGTGGTCCCTCAGGTTACTCTTCCCCTCTGTCCTGCATTCACCATCTCACCTCACTCCATTTCCTCTGCACACAGAACTCCAGGGAGTGATGGGGCTTGAACCCAGGGCTCCAAACGTGCTAAGCTTGCCTCCACCACTGAGCTACACCTCCAGCCCAGGATTCTGTTCTGTCCTGTTGGTTTAGCTTTGCGTCACAGATTCTCTGGTCTCTATCTCTACTATAGTTAGACTATGGGTATGTGCCACTGTGCCCAGTTGTGCGCGCGGGCGCGTGCGTGCGTGTCTGTGTGTGTGTGTGTGTGTGTGTGTGTGTGTGTGTGTGTGTGTGTGTACATATTAACTTTTTCCTTTAAACTTTCATTTGAAATGTCAGCTGAGGCATGAAGGCACTTTAATCCCAGCACTCAGGAGGCACAGGCCACATGGCTTTCTGTGAGTTCAAGGTTAGCCTGGTGTATATAGCAAGTTCTAGGCTGGCTAGGGTTCTATATTGAGATCTTGTCTCAAAAACAAATCAGCCAGGCGGTGGTGGCGCACGCCTTTAATCCCAGCACTCGGGAGGCAGAGCCAGGCGGATCTCTGTGAGTTCGAGGCCAGCCTGGGCTACCA